TTTAGTAACGGCACTTAATCCACATATTGGTTATGATAAAGCAGCACAAATTGCTAAGAAAGCACATAAAGATGGAACAACATTACGTGAAGCTGCATTCGCTTTAGGACATGTAACCGAAGAACAATTTGAAAAATGGGTTAATCCAAAAGATATGGTTTAAAAAAAATGAACAGTTTTTTTCGATTGTCTTTTATTTTGTGTTTGTTCCCTTAATAAACATATTTTTAGAATGTTCTAGTTTATTAAGAAATTAAATTATTTAGTTTTTCAAAACATTTAATCAGAAAGAAAATATATTAATGATTGACTTCGAAAGATTATATATTTACGAATAGAAATTCTAAGTGCAACTAATTTGCGTTTAACTCTTTGGTCACATGTTGTACTCTTATCAAAAAAAGGTGCAAAAAATGATTTGTTTATATAGAAAAGTATTACATGATAACACGATATGACTGATAATGTAATTGACTTAGCATGAGTATGTTACGTGCTAGTGTTCTGCAGAATGTTAATGCATTATTATCGCACCATCCTGAGGTAATTTATAATATAATCAGAGTGGAATGTAATAGCGATTAGGATATAAATATTGATGCAATCAATATATAGCAACGTTTGACAGATACTTCAGATATAAATTCATTCTGTGTTATGTCTGAAATTATATTGCTTCAGTACTATGTATAATCTATGGAAAGTACAATCAGGCTTCGTTCGTACACATGTACGAAACTGTAAAACAGAAGATTAAAAGAATATTAAACAATTTGAATAGACAAGAGCCGTGATATTGATAAAATTAGTCGATTGACTTGAATACAAAACATACAATTGTTTATGCAAGAACTACTTTGTTTAACATAGATAAAGTTCATATATTGATTATATAATCATTATTCCATATTTTATCGTTCTATGTTCATTTATCAAACCTTTCAACTTACGAAATTTATCTCAATAATTAAAAATAAAAGTAAAGTTTATTTTATATTCTATTTAATGAAAAAGATAAGAGAGTAATCACCTTGATATTTTTATCAGTAACATCATGTTAAAAAACAATCCATCTATTCATCGATATTACATATCTTATTATTACGTTCTCTTTTTCTCGTTCTTTCTATTATCATAAACAAAAGATAGACAAATATTAAGTTTACAACTAACACTTGTATACACATCCGAATAAAATGTTAACACAAGAAGAAATTCAAAGTGTACGTTATATGCGTGTTATTATTTTCTTATTAAATAAAATACTTTATTTGATTTTAGTATAAAAAAAATGGTTATCTAGTTGTAAAACAATTGATAACTATTGATGATTGTCAAAAATTAAAAGAATCTGTCCAACAATTAATTCATAAATGGAATCCTGAACAAGATAGTCAATGTGTATTTTCTGCAAATAGTAATACTCAACAATCAAAAAGTCGATATTTTCTTGATAGTGGTGATAATATATCATTTTTTATTGAAGAAGATGCAATTGATTTAAATACAAGTTAAATATTTGATATATAATTGACATAGAATTAGTTTTTTTTGTTTCGAATAGAAAAACTCAATCGAGATAAATATCATAGTGTTAATAAAATTGGACATGCACTTCATACACTTGAACCACAATTTAAAAAAGTTTCATTTTCGGATAAAATCAAAGTAATGCAAAAAAATTCATTTAATTTAAATCTATCGAATTCATTGATATTTTTTTCGTATATATAGTCTATTGTGCATGAATTAGATTTTATTAAACCAGCTATATGTCAATCAATGTATATTTTTAAACAACCACTTATTGGAGCAAAAGGTAAAAGTGTTCTTATATTTCATATTCTACTGACTGACAAATCGGTTTTTAGTTACTCCACATCAAGATGGTACATTTCTTTATAATGAACCACTTAAAATTATGGGTGTATGGATTGCACTTGAAGATGCTACTATTGAAAATGGTTGTCTTTGGTTTATACCTGGTTCACATACATGTAAGTTTAAGTAATTAGAATTATATTTAATATTGAGTTCATTATTTAGATCCTATTAATCGTCGTTATGTTCGTAATTCTAATGAACAAGAATTTAACAATGGACAAATGTTAATATTTACAGGAACTGAAGATAAATATGATGATAAAGATTTTGTTCCAATTGAAATAAAAGCTGGTAAAAAATCTTTGTAAATATTCAATTGTAAAATAATTGTTTTTTTATTCTTTCAGGAGATGCCATTCTTATTCATGGACAAGCAGTACATAAAAGTGAACAAAGTATGTTACAATAAATAAAAGTAAACTATATTTATATTTTTTATTATATAGATACATCACCAATTTCAAGACAAATCTATACATTTCATATAATTGAAATGAATGATTCAGAATATAGTAAAGAGAATTGGTAAATTATTATTTTTCTTTACTTGTATTATCATTTTTAAAACCAATACATCTTTTATTATTTAGGCTACAAACAAACGAACCATTTCCATTAATTCATTGAACTTGAAAGAAAATTTTTTGTTATTTCAAAAAGAACTTTTATACATTAAAAAAAAAGTACAATTCTATATTCTTTCAAAATAATAGTTATATATATATATATAGAATTAAAATTGACTAAATTAGAAATAAAAATCTAGCACAAACAGATATCACAAAGAAACAAAGTACATTGATATAATTTCTTAGACTGCTCCTTCCTCTTCATGTTCATCATATTGTGGATATTGTTGAATACGTTTTGTACTTTGCATACCATTTCCACGTCTCGTTGTTGATGCATACTGTACTTGTACTGGTTCAGGTTGTTCGAGAAATGGAAGTGTATCAGAACGTGGTCGCGTTTGATGATCTGCCGATGAAGGATTTTGTGATGTTCGACGTTTAACTTCTGGAGGGTGTTGATCATTTGTTGTATGTGACTGAAAACGTTGTATAAGTGGATTTACTGACGGTCGTGTTTCAATAGTTGGTGTTTTAGGTTGTTCTGTTTCAGGAGGTTCTGGAGGTGGTTGTCCTTCTTTAGGAATAACTAGATATTTATAAAGCGTAGTTCGTAATGGTGCTGTCATTATTTGAACATCATATGGCTTAAATCGTTTGTTACAACACATTTGATATAAATCATGAATCATTTTCGTTGAAACAAATTCACTAAAAGAAATCATCATTTTATTGATATTTTAAATAATTTATTTTACCTTGCATTTGTACCAACAATACGTAAAATAAAATGTCCATCGGCTTCCAAATATTCTTCATTAAAAAAAGCAAATATAGTCTTGCCTTTGCCTTCATAATATACAGGTGGTACAATAAACATTCGAGATTGATGATGGATTTTTCGTCCATCACTCAATATATATACTTCGTCACCCGTTGAAGGAATTGTTTCATCACGACTTTGTACTATAATAAATATATATATATATGTATATTTATTTATCGATCAATTAATTCAATTTTATTTTACTTCTCCTTATACGTTCCATATCTTCTACATTAACATGATTAACACATAAATCATTAAATGGCCATTTTTGTGTTAATTCATAATCCATTACTTTCAAACGTCCTTCAAGATATGAATCTCGTCGAAAAAATAATCGAAATATCCACATACAAAGATCGTAAATTGTAAGAATAATAACAAACACAATCCAAAACCATAGAAATGTAAATATTTGCTAAAAATCATACAATATACATACATATATTATATACGAAAAAGAAATATCAAATCAAATATTACTTGATTAAATAAATTAATTGGTAGAACACACATAACTGTATAAGTATGTGCAATTGGTAAAGCATTTGCTTCACGAATTTGAAAATCACTAGAGCAAAAGACAAATTAATTTTTCTATGTAAAAGAATATCTTTATTTATTATCTACCATAATGTTACTTTAGGGAAATATCGACTAGTAAAATCCCATCCTTTTCCTTGATATAAAAGACGAATAACAGTAGTACCCAATGAATAAAATGGTTGACCCAATAATAAAGATAATATTAATACTTGTGCAACAGCATTAATTACATAAATAATTTTAATAAATATAAATAAATTTCTTAAATAATCTCCCATATAACGACCAGATGATGGAAAAAAAACTAGACAAAATTTTTTCCACCAAACTGTTTCACGATTATTTGATTGACGGCGTGGATCATCAACATATTGATCAATAATTTGTACCATAAATTTCATTAAACGATCACGTTGTTTTTCATCATTCGCTTTTTTATAATTTGTTGCAGCTTCAACTATATCTCGTATATCAATACCTAATTTACAAACAAAAAAAAACCTATGAATTATTTATTAAACAAACATTAATCATTATTTTACCTGATCGTTGACATAATACACGCCATAAAACATAAGGTACAAAGAAGAGAAATGCTTGAAAAAGAAGTATAAATGGTATCCATTGATAATAACGTATAGATGTATCATGACGAATTTCAGCACTTTCAGGTATTTCACTATTATCATCGATATAATATGTATTACGTACCCAACATACATTATTAGTATAATCTTCATAATTTCCTGTAAAAAATGCTGGAACCTAAATAAAGTACACATATTTATATATGGATTTAAATAATAATCGATTGTAAATATACCCAACATTGAATACGTTTTGATGTAAATTCACGATTTGAAACAATAATTGTAAATGCAATAAGTATAGCACATGTATATCGATAACTTAGACGATCACCTGCTGAATCATCACTACGAGATGTACCAAGAAATAGAGTTGAAAATTCATTAGCAGCTTTTAATATCAATGCCGACATGATGTTGATATATTAGTAAGTTTTGATAAGATGTTCAATTCGATTAGTTATCGTAGATTTTATGTTCTTATCTAAAATAATAGAAAATGTAAATTGATACGGAATAAATCTTCGATTATGTTTGATCCATTTAATTCAACTCAACAAAAAAAAAAAAGGTAGAAGAAAGAAACAAACACCTAAATCAATGAGTTACCTTTTTTTAACGCTTTCTCTATTTTCTTCTCATTCTGTAAATATATGCCAAGCAGGAACTAACATTTACATATTGTTATAAAGAATATATATATTTATATAACGATTGTAAAATATACGTGAAATTATTTTAGTAAATTTAGAACTAGTAGACCAAATCTTTTCTTTTCACACTGTTTTGATGTAACTATATTTCAAAGTTAATTAACTATTGGTCAACATCATACTCTTGGTTTCAAATGTTCATGTCTAATGATAACACTTACCAAATATACAAGTAATACGACACACTCGTACTTTTGTTATCAATGTACACACATGTACATTTATACGCATTTACTTACGATAAATATAACAGCAAAAACGATGTAAAGTGTTGTTGATTGTTGTTGACATTCGTACATACCTTTTTCTAGACAGAAGGACAAAAAGGAAGCAAAAATTATTGTTATTTGTATAGAAGATTAGAATAGAATCAGTCAAGCTGGTCTTTTATTACGTGATATATTCATTCTGATCATCATACAAATACAAAAATGATTGCGGTTTTTCCCCTCAATGTCAAACTTTTTCTTTTCCTTCTTTTTTTCTTTTTCTCCGACAATAGTTATACATGTATATATATATATAT